GTGACAGAGCAAGACTCCATCTCAAAACAATAATAATGATAATTAGAGGAGGACTTATAGCTTTAAATATATTTCTTACAAAATAAAAAACATAAAGGAGCTAATTGTTAAAAGGTAGAAAAATAACAACTACAGAAGCTCAGAGAAAGCAGAAGGAAGGAAATAAGAATGAAAAAGCAGAAATGAGTAAAACAAAGAACAAAAGAAAATGAAGTTGATTATAGAAGCCAAAAGCTGGTGTTCTCTTAATGACTAATAAAATAGAAAAACTTCATGTAAGATTGATCAAGAAAATGGTACAAACAATGTGATAAATGGCAAACTGAACATACCAGCTAGAGTAAAAATTTTAGAAAGCACAAAAGTATACCACAAACTTTATGCAAATACATTTGAAAAATTAGAAAAAAGGTAATTTTTAACAAAAATAACAATTACAAAACTTGACCCAAGAAGGAAAGTATTAGGTTGGTGCAAAAGCAATTGAGGTTTTTGTCATTAAAAGTAATAGTCACTAATGAAATTGAACTAGAAGTATAGGATATGCTTCACCTTCTAAGATGTCTGGAACAAGAAAGTTTTACTGGTGTGATCAGCACACACAAAAAGACTATATTATGCAAAATTCACTGGAATACAAACAAGATAGAGAAAGCTATTCAACACATTCTATGAGACTAGTTTAATTTTGACACCAAAAAGAGAACAGCAAAATTAAAGAAAATGTCAGGCTCATCTTTATCACAAATATGTATTGAAAAAAATTCAGTCTACCAGTGTATCAAAAGAATATCTCTTCCAAAAGAGAAAATTCACATGGCTAAAAAATATGTGGGGACCAGGTGCAATAGCTCACGCCTGTAATCCCAGGACTTTGGGAGGCCAAGGCGGGAGGATCACTTGAGGTCAGGAGTTTGAGACAAGCCTGGCCAACATGGGGAAACTCCATCTCCACTAAAAATACAAAAATTAGGTGGGTGTGGTGGCATCCACTTGTAGTCCCAACTACGTGGGAGGCTGAGGCAGGAGAATTGCTTGAACCCAGGAGGCAGACCTTGCAGTGAGCCGAGATTGAGTCACTGCACTCCAGCATGGATGACAGAGCAAGACTCCAGCTCAAAATAGATGAATAAATAGAAATAAAATTAAAATATTCCAGATAAATCACAAGATCTTTATTCTCTTCTCCCATCCCAATCTTCCTTTCCCCTTCCTAGAGGCCCTCTAGTTTGAGTTTTATAATAATCTTTTCAATCCTTAAATAGAAAATAATTTTATATGCATCTGCTTATCTATTAGCAAATTATAATATTGCCATTTTGCGTTGCTCCAAATTTGCATAAATGGTAATCTTGCTGTATCATCTTTGTATCTTGCTTTTCCCCCGTTTTATCTATGCTTTCAGGATTCATTCATGTAGACACTTGTGAGTTAATTCATTCCTTTTCATGTTATATGACTGTCCATGGTACATGACTCTTTTGCTTTTTGATTTCCTTATTAATGGCTCTTTAGGATGTTTCATTTTCTCCCACCACGTTGTTGCAGCAAATCTCAAGCACATAAGGGAGATTTTCTTCAGTTAAATTCCTAGAAGTGGAATTGCTAGATAAGCTTTTTCGACTTCAATAACACCGAATAGCTCTCCAGAGGGGCTATATACAACATTTATAACCCCACCATATACGAACAAGAGTACTGGTCTCTCTTTACCCTTGACCACATTCTGTCATTCCTTCTAGGGGAAAAGTTGGTTTTGGGGCAGCTCCCACCTCAGCCTCCAAAAGTGGTGGGATTATAGGCGTGAGCCACCACTCCCAGCCTGGAGTATTCTAATTTTAAACTAAAATAATAAAACTATGTATTTCATATAGCAATGAATTTAAGGATTGAAAAGATTTGAAAATTGAATTTTTCAAATATTGGCTTTAAAAAGGGGATAAAGTCAAACATGCCAAAATGTTAACAGAGGTTAATGCTGGATGGTAGAAAAATGGACAACTGTCATTTTTTTCACTTTTACTTTGCTGTATTTAAAAACAAATTTCTGATAGGAAGAGTGAAAATATGAAAAAATAATTAAAAGCGTATTTTTGAAAAGTACATGGCAATGAATGGAGGCGAGGATGGGGACTAGAGACCAGGTTTTCCACAGCCCAAGTCAAGCCCTTTTCAAAGTCGTTTTCATCAGCGTCTGTATACTACATCATTTTTGTTTCTTTTTTTCTAAAGCTCAGCAGTGTGATAAATACATAATTTTTGAATTCATGAAATTTTAAGTTCAAACCAGGTGCAGTGGCTCATGCCTGTAATCCCAGCACTTTGGGAGGCCAAGGCAGTTGGATCACGTGAGGCCAGGAGTTTGAGAACAGCTTGGGTGAAACCCCATTTCTACTAAAAATACAAAAATACAAAAAAGAAAAAAAATTAGCCAGTGATGGTGGCACGTGCCTATAATCCCAGCTACTCAGGAGGCTGAGGCGGGAGAATTGCTTGAACCCAGGAGGCAGAGGTTGCAGTAAGCTGAGATGGTGCCACTGCACTCCAGCCTGGGTGACAGAGTGAGACTCTGCCTCAAAAGAAAAAGAGAAAAGAAAAGAAAGGAAATTTTAAGTTCGATCTAGTAGAGGCGATGCGCACAGGTTGGTTGGGAAAAAAAGGAAAATGATCACCCTCTACCCATCACTCTTCTTAAAAGGAATGGTGACAGCTCCCAAAGGTCAACTTTAAAAATGATCAATAGGCCAGGCACGGTGGCTCACGCCTGTAATCCCAGCACTTTGGGAGTCCGAGGCAGGCAGATGATGAGGTCAGGAGATCAAGACCATCCTGGCTAACACTGTGAAACCCCATCTCTACTAAAAATACAAAATATTAGCCAGGCGTGGTGGCAGGCGCCTGTAGTCCTAGCTATTCAGGAGGCTGAGGCAGGAGAATCGCTTGAACCCAGGAGGCGGAGGTTGCAGTGAGCTGAGATCGCACCACTGCACTTCAGCCTGGGAGACAGAGCGAGACTCCGTCTCAAAAAAACAAAAATAAAAATAAAACCGATTACTAAACTTAAAGGCAGCAGAAAGCTCAGACGCTAAAATGAGAAATATGCACATTGCCAGAGGCATTGTAGACGGTTCAGTCTCTCCACAGGGCAATTTTGCTGTTCTCATTAAGAACCCAGACGTGTCTGTGTTCTTTGACCCAGCAATTCCACTTCTGGGAATCTCTCTGGGGAAATCATCAGAGATGCTCACAAAAGGTAATGTATAAGAAGTGCATGAGAGACTTAATTATATTAGGGGAAGAAAGAAACAACTTAAAAGTCTCCCAATGTTATAAAAGAGAATGGTTGGCGTGAGTAACAATTCTGTGGAATCTTATGTACCCTAAAAATCATGTTCAAAGAATACTTAATGTCAGAAAAAAATAATTCAGGATATTTTAAGAGAGAAAACTAAAAGAACACACACCAGAATATTAACAGTGCATATAAACCGTTTTTATTATTTTCTTATATTTTCCAACTTTTCTCCAAGAGTATGTCTTATTTTATAATCATAAGAGATACTATTTTTCAGAATAACTCAGTCTGTGTGATCATTAAGATTTTAGATATAAGGAAATAGAGAATATATATAATAGTCTACATAAATATGATTGGGATATAGTTATAGCCATAATTACCCAGCATCATCTGAGAATTGTTATATGTAAGATTTTTAAATTTTTATTATTATTTTTGATACAGGGTCTTGCTCTGTCACCCAGGCTGGAGCACAGTGGCATGATCAAGGCTCACTGCAGCCTCAACCTCGCAGACTCAAACAAACTTCCTGCCTCATCCTCCTGAGTAGCTGGGACCACAGGCATAAGCCACCATGTCTGTTTTTTTTTTTTTTTTAATTTTTAGTAGAGGTGGGATTTTGCTATGTTACCCAGGCTGGTCTCAAACTCCTGGGCTAAAGCGATCCTCCTGCCTTGGCCTCCCAAAGTGCTGGGATTACAGGTGTGAGCCACCACATCTGGCCCAGAATTGTTTCACATAACTAGAATATTCCTTCAATCACCAACATTTTTAAAAGACCTTTTTCTATTTTTCTATATTAATTATTCAAAATTATATCTCTCTGCCATTTGAAGCACACAATGACCTTTCTTGATGAGTACAACGTATCTTTGATGGCTGGGCACGGTGGCTCACGCCTGTAATCCCAGCGCTTTGGGAGGCCTAGGTGAGTGGATCATTTGCGGTCAGGAGTTTGAGACCAGCCTGGCCAACATAGGGAAACCCCATCTCTACTAAAAATACAAAAATTGGCTGGACGTGGTGGCGCATGCTTGTAGTACCAGCTATTGGGGAGGCTGAGGCAGGAGAATTATTTGGACCCAGGAGGCAGAGGTTGCAGTGAACTGAGATTGTACCACTGCACTCCAGCCTGGGCAACAGAGTGAGACTCCATCTCAAAGGTATCTTGAGGACAGTGACTACTCTAGGGCTTTTTGCCTTTGCAAGACATACCCCAAGACAGTAGTGAATTTTTCATTCTAGGGTCAACTTTTCATGTTATTTCCATCTCTTCCCCTCCGTCGGGCTACCAGAAGTCCTCAGCACTTATAATTCCCTTCTTCTAATGTCCTCTAACCTGAGCAAACACATAGCCAGTCTCATTAGAAAAAGTGGCCAAAAATTAAATCTAAATCTCAGTAAAGCACAGAAGTTTTAGTGTGTAGAACTTGTTATGCTTGTTCTTGCTTTACAGACTTCTGTTTCCCCTGTGTCTGTGTTCTTGACTCTTTTTCTAAATAGATAGTGAAGCTACCAGAGAAGTGATTTCCAGATAAGATACAAGGTAACAGTGATTTCCTAATCGACTTTTAAAGAGAACTGATCAAAGGCTGAACTCAGGGCAAGCTCATCAAAATCCCCAACCCAAGCTTCTGGAGAGTTCTTGAATTGTGTTGGCTGTTCTGATCCCACGGGGAGTTTTCTGCACTTGCTCTTCCAGCAGCCTCAGTATCCCCTGGGAACTTGAGACATCTAAGGAGTTGACTGAGGCCCCTCCCTGACATACTGAAGCGGAATGTGCATTTTAGCAAGATCTGCACGTGAATTTTGAGCATGTGAATGTTTGAGAAGCCCTGATCTGTAACACATTTAGATTTTTTCGTATACCCCACACCACGTGCTCTTAAAGATTCATTCCAACAATAACATTTCTCTTTCCCTCTCTGCCTCTCTCTTTCTCTCACTGGGAGCAGGTTGTAAGTCGTTTCCACTTTGCATGTGTTTCATTTTCTCTTTTTGTTTTGAGACAGGGTCTCGCTGTGCCGTCCAAGCTGGTATACACTACTGAATACTTATAAGGCCCTTGATACTATTTGATGGGATGAATGCAAAAATTGAATTTAAAAAATGAATTTTTTTGACCAGGCATGGTGGCTCACGACTGTAATCCCAGCACTTTGGGAGGCCGAGGCGAGTGGATCACCTGAGGTCAGGAGTTCGAGACCAGCCTGACCAACAAGGTGAAACCCCGTCTCTACTAAAAATACAAAAATTAGCTGGGCATGGTGGCAGGCACCTGTAATCCCAGCTACTTGGGAGGCTGAGACAGAAGAATTGCTTGAACCCAGGAGGTGGAGCTTGCAGTGAGCCGAGATCACACCACTGCACTCCAGCCTGGGCAATAGGGTGAGACCCCATCTCAAAAAAAAAAAAAAAAAAAAGATTTTTTGAAGAGATAGGGTCTCACTCTGTCATCCATGCTGGAGTACAGTGGTGTGATCTTAGATTACTGCAACCTGAAATTCCCAGGCACAAGTGATCCTCCTGCCTCAGCCTCCCAAGTATCTGGGAGTACAGGTGCACACCACCACACCCAGCTAATTTTGTATTTCTTGTAGAGATTGGATCTCACTTTGTTACCTAGGCAGGTCTCAAACTCCTGGTCTCAAGTGATCCTCCCTCCTCAATCTCCCAAAGTGCTGGGATTACAGGTGTGAGCACCCAACCAGTGTGTTTCTTTTTAAATGGACAAAAGTGGAGAATTTCCTCCTGTCTATGGTTCTTCTTTATTAGTCTACCAGCTCCTTTGAGTCTCCCTTTTTATGATTTGGAAATTATTTATTCCTTCGGGGGCAATAAACAAATAGTTCCAAATTGCTGCTGCTGCTTTTGTCTTCAACAAGAGGTAGACACTAGGATTAGGGATGGTGGTTGGAGGATGAAAAAGTAAAAACCCTGCATAGAGTGTCTGTTGCAAATAAAGAACTTGGTGAATATGGTTGCTGTTCTGATGTTTCCAAAGTATTTTACTCTTTGTCATTTAATAAGGTTTTTTGAAGTTATGACTATAATTTGATTGAAACATAGAGATGCAATCACATTTTAAAATCTCTTTTAATTAAAACTCACTTGAGGCCAGGCATGGTGGCTCACACCTGTAATCCCAGCACTTTGGGAGGCCGAGGTGAGCAGATAACCTGAGGTCAGGAGTTAGAGACAGGCCTGGCCAACACAGAGAAACTCCATCTCTGCTAAAAATACAAAAATTAGCCGGTCGTGGTGGCACATGCCTGTAATCCCAGCTACTCGGGAGGCTGAGGCAAGAGAAATACTTGAACCCAGGAGGCAGTAGTTGCAGTGAACCAAGATTGCGCCACTGCACTCAAGCCTGGGCTACAGAGCAAGACTCTGTCTCACCAAAAAAAAAAAAAGGAAAAAGAAAAAAAGAAACCTCACTTGAAAATGGATTAGAAAACCACAGTTGAAAAGGGAGTAGCTAGTTGACTCACCACATTTTTCATTTTCAGTCAGGCATAGTGGCTCACGTCTATAATCCCAGCACTTTGGGAGGCTGGAGTTTGAGGCCAAGAGTTTGAGACCAGCCTGGGTAACACAGAAAGACCCCATCTCTACAGAAAACTTAAAAATTAGCTAGGTATAGTGGTGGTACACACTGATGAAGACCTACAAGACCCTTGATACTATTTGATAGGATGAATGCAAACATTTAATTTTAAAAATGAATTCAATTCCTGTAGTCCCAGCTACTGGGAGGCTAAGGTGGGAGGACTGCTTGAGTCTAGAAGTTCAAGGTTGAAGTGAGCTATGATCACACCACTGCACTCCAGCCTGGATGACAAAGAGAGACCCTGTCTCTAAAAACAAAACAAAAATTTCATATTTATTCAGTTTCTACATTCATCCTAACAAATCTTATCAAGAAAGTGTTCAGCAGTGTGGTGAGATTCAAAGATGAATCTCCATAGTCCTTAGGTCAGGTAGCTCTCAGCTGGTAAGAAAAAATAAGATGAATGCACATTAGTAAGTGTAATCAATAAAGGAATTGCTGGCCGGTTGGAATGACTCACCCATGTAATCCCAGCACTTTGAGAGACTGAGGCAGGAGGATCGCTTGAGCCTAGGAGCTCGAGATCAGCCTGGGCAACATGGTGAAACCCTGTGTCTACTAAAGTATCAACATTAGCCATGTGTGGTGGCACACGCCTGTGGTTCCAGCTACTGGGGAGGCTGAGGTGGGAGGATTGCTTGAGCCACTGTAGAGTTCAAGGCTGCAGTGAGCCATAGATTGTGCCACTACACTCAGCCTGGGTGACAGAGTGAGACCCTGCCTCAAAAAAAAAAAAGAAAGAAAAAGAAAGAATGAACGAAAGAGAGAAAAAGAAAGAAAAGAAAGAGAGAAAAAGAAAGAAAAGAAAGAGAGAAAGAAAGAAGGAAAGAAAGAAAGAAAGGAAAGAAAGAAAGAAAGAAAGAAAGAAAGAAAGAAAGAAAGAAAGAAAGAAAGAAAGAAAGAAAGAAAGGAAGGAAGGAAGGAAGGAAGGAAGGAAGGAAGGAAGGAAGGAAGAGAAAGAAAGAAAGAAAGAAAGAAAGAAAGAAAGAGAGAGAGAGAGAGAGAGAGGGAGGAGGGAGGGAGGGAGGAGGGAGGGCAGGAAGGAAGGAAGGAAGGAAGGAAGGAAGGAAGGAAGGAAGGAAGGGAAAGAAAGAAAGAAGAAAGAAAGAAAGAAAGAAAGAAAGAAAGAAAGAAAAGAAAGAAAGAAGAAAGAAAGAAAGAAGAGAGAGAAAGAGAAAGAAAGGAAGGAAGGAAGGAAGGAAAGAAAAAGAAATTGCTAAGTGCTGTTAGTTTATCAGTTAAGCTGGTTTAGGTACAAGAAACTGATGTGATAATTTAAGCAAAAAAGTTTATTGGAAGGGTAGGAAGGATATTGGGGTATATTATTCAGGGCAGGCTAGGTCATAATGCTATAACACATATTCCCAAAATCATTATTTCTAGGTCATGCAATCTACCACATTTGGATCAGCAGGAGGCTCTGCCCTCCTCTCACTCAGACTAACGGGTGGCTGCAGCCCTGAAACATGGAGCCTCATTGGTGTGACCATGGCAGGGGAAGAAAGAGGCTGGGGGTTTGCACAGGGGGTTTTTACTGCCTCAGCATGAAAGTGACATGTGTCCTTTCTACTCTAGGATCACTGGTCAGAACTAGTCACGAGATCTTCCCTAACTGCCAGAACGCTGGGAAATGAAAGGGAAAAATGGAATCCCTGGCAAGCATTACTGTCTGTGCTCCAGGGTGGCTCGTAGACTCAAATGAAAATGCTGGAGCCTCAGATCTGGGACTGAATGTGGACCAGAGAACTTGGGAGACCTTGCCAGCAGCAGCGGATGGAGGTCTGGTCAGGCTGTCATCCATGTTCAGCTATCTGTCACTCTCTCAGGATTTGCACTGGAGAAAGAGTGAGAGGAGAGAGAGAGAGAGAGAGAGAGAACAACTGATTGGCCCAGGCAGGTTCTATGTCCCACTCGAAACACAAGTTAGTGGACAACTTGATTGACATTCGAGTTGCACTAAAAGGTGGTGAGGGGAGTTCATCCAAACAAAATTGGGGGGCTGTTACAACAAGAGAGGGAGGGTGGGTGCGTTGTGAGCAAAAGCACACACTTGCTGCAGAGCTGGTCCAAATACCACTCTTCAGAGTTGACATCATCTGGAAGGTTTGTAGAAGTGAGGGCTTTCCAGATGAGCTTTGGAGGATGGGATAACTGATGCAGAGGAAAGGTAATGCAGGCTGAGTGGCCCGTGTAAGCAAAGTGAAGCTGCAGAAGAGTGTAATCATTTGCAAGAAAGAGAAGGCTGGCTGGGTGCAGCAGCTCACACCTGTAGTCCCAGCACTGTGGGAGGCCAAGGTGGGAGGATCCCTTGAGCCCAGGAGTTTGAGACCAGCCTGAGCAACGCAAGGAGATCCCATATCTACAAAAAATTTAAAAATTAACCAGGCATGGTGGTGCATGCCTATAGTCCTAGCTACTCGGGAGGCTGACATGGAAGGATTACCTAAGCCTTGGGAGGCTGAGGCTGCAGTGAGCCATGATTTTGCCACCACACTCCAACCTGGGCAACAGAGTGAGACCCTGTCTCAAAAAAAAAAGAGAAGGCTATTGAGATTGAACAGTGGATATGATTTGCAGTTACATTTTCCCAGCTCATCTTTGCTTCCCATGGTGTCAACTCAGGGGATGCAAATGGTTGGAATGGCTCAAACTACATCATGAGATTGGAACCTGGTCCTCCATGTTGACTGAGAGTCTCAGTTCTGCTCCACGTGGCCTCTCCTTGGGGTCAGCTTACATTTCCTCAAAACGTGGCGGCCTCAGGGCAGTTGGGTTTCTTGTGCGCTGGCTCAGGGCTCCTGAGAGGATAAAATCAGAATATCTTGTTCTTCGTCAGGCTTGGGCCCAGACTAGCACAGCATCATTATCTTTTTATTCTGTGAGTTAACGTATTTCAGAGGACCAGTGCCAATTCAGAGTGGAGAGGGCTGCATAAGAACACGAATACTGGGAGGTGGCTTCATTTGGGGCCATCTTTGGAGACCAGCTACAGTGCATGATGTAACTGCCCTGAATTCCCAAGCTCCTATCCCCAGCTCCAGCATAAGGTAGGTAAGAAGTGAATGGCAGCATAAGTGGGTCATGTTGGAGGAAAGATAAGTCTGGAGCTGAGCTTTCCAGGTGTTCAGTGCCACAGATGAAAATGATGGTGCTAGGGAGGAGGTAGGGCAGGAGGTCTTTCTCTTCATGGGCCTCTTCCCAGATTTCCACTGTGTATCTTGTTGACTGACACTGAATCACATCAGCACCTGTTACTGCAAGGAAGCCTGGGCAAGTCAGAATCTGTGAAAGGGAAGTGGGATTGTTATTTCTGGCCTAAGTCAACCCTGATTCATTCTCCAGGCATGTGTGGGCCATTGCAGCCTGAATTAATCAGGACGGAAGAAGAGATGCGATGATACCGGCCAGTGATCCGTGGTGGGAGGTCAGTACAAACCTACCCCAAAGGCCGGAGAAGCTGAGAGGCTGAAGAAAGAGGCTGATAAACCCAGTTTCTCCAAGGAAAAGTTTTGTTGTTGTCGTTGTTGTTGTTTTTAGAGGCAGGGGCTTACTACGTCACCCAGGCTAGAGTGAAGTGATGTGATCATAAGTCACTACAGCTTTAACCTCCTGGGCTCAAGCAATCCTCCCACTTCGGCCTCCTGAGTAGCTGGGACTACAAGTCACACACCACCACACCTGGCTAATTTTTTTTAATGTTTTGTAGAAACAGTCTCACTATGTTGTTCATGTTGGCCTCAAAGCCCTGGGTTCAAGTGATCCTCCTACCGTGGTCCTCCAAAGTGTTGGGATTACAGGCTTGAGCCATGGTTCCTAGAAAGAAGCATTTAACTGGGACTTGCGAATGAGAAGTCTCGTATCCAGTGGCTTAGAAATATGATTAGCATGTGTTCATGATAGCATCAAGGTTGTTTTGACCTAAGGGCTGGCTTTCCAGTAAGTAGAAATCTTAGAGGCATTCCTGGAACTGGGGTGAATCTTAAGTCAACATGGTGAATCAGCATCCAAAATGGAGTTGCTTTCGCCTCACAGTAGGTGACATACAGAGGATGCTATAAGCAACAAAAAACAGGGAAAGCAGCTGGGAGGATGTAGCTTTACTTCAGGTGAGAGGAGGGTGGGGGCTGGACCAGGGCAGAAGCAGCGAGGAGTGGGAAATAAGCCAGATGTGAAAATGAACACAGAAGTGGAGGGTACAGCATGGAATACTATGCAGCCATAAAAAAGAATGAAATCGCCAGGTGTGGTGACTCACGCCTGTAATCCCAGCACTTTGGGAGGCTGAGGCGGGCAGATCACGAAGTCAAGAAATTGAGACCATCCTGGCTATCACGGTGAAACCCCATCACTACTAAAAATACAAGAAAAGAATTAGCCAGGCATGGTGGCGGGTGCCTGTAGTCCCAGGTACTCAGGAGGCTGAGGCAGGAGAATGGCGCGAACCTGGGAGGCAGAGCTTGCAGTGAGCCGAGATCACACCACTGCACTCCAGCCTGGAGGACAGAGCAAGACTCTGTCTCAAAAAAAAAAAAAAAAAAAAAAAAAGAATGAAATGTCCTTCGAAGCAACGTAGATGCACCTGGAGACTATTATCCTCAGTGAATTAACACAGGGACAGAAAACCAAATATTGTATGTTCTTGCTTATAAGTGGGAGGTAAACACTGAACACGCATGGTCATAAACATGGGAACAATAGACACGAGGGACTACTAGAGGAAGGAGAGTGGGAGGGGGCGAAGGCTGATACACTTCCTATTGGGTACTGTGCTCAGTACCTGGGTAATAGGGTCATTCGTACCCCAAACCTCAGTGACATACAATTTACCCATGTGACAAGCCTGAACAGCTACCCCCGAAACCTAAAAGCTGGAAAATAAAAAAAGAGGCAGGGTGCATAGCCCATGGCTCCTTGTGACTGTCTTTCACAAGCAAGAATGGGAAAGAGAGACAGACAGACAGAGAGGGAAGTCAACAATGACAGCATCATTTGCAGCTTGCTTAATTGGATGGTGACACCATCCAAGCACAGAAGGAGAAGTTAGCTCGGCGAGAGACAATGACTTTGTCCTAGGCATTCTGAGGGCAAGGGGCGTGAGAGAACATGCTCAAGGTGTGGGTCATGAAACACGAGGGCGTGGGGCCAGGTCGGGGGGCTCAAGTCTGGAATCCCAGCACTTTGGGGGGCTGAGGCAGACGGATCACATGAGGTCAGGAGTTCAAGACTAGCCTGGCCAACATGGCGAAACCCCGTCTCTACTAAAAATACAAAAATTATCTGGATGTGGTGGCACACGCCTGTAATCCCGGCTACTTGGGAGGCTGAGGCGGAAGAATCGCTTGAACCCGGGAGGTGGAGGTTGCAGTGAGCCAAGGTCGCACCGCTGCACTTCAACATGGGTGACACAGTGAGACCACCTTGTCTCCTAAGCAAATAAATAAATAAATAAACAAACAAATAAATAAATGCTAGGGCATGGGAGAAAGGACAGGACTAGATGTGGAGACTTTAAACAACCAGTGCAGAGCTGTAGTCAACGCCATGCTATGGGCTGGGTGCAGTGGCTCATGCCTGTAATCCCAGCACATTGGGAGGCCAAGGTGGGAGGATTGCTTGAACCCAGGAGTTCAAGAATAACCTGGGCAACATAGGGAGACCACGTCTCTAAAAACAAAATAAAACCAAAACAAAATCACCATGCTATGGAATGATGTGTCTGCTTGTGCCCAGGTCTGGAAGAATGCACACCCAATGCTCATAGAGGTTCCATCTGGGAAATCAGATTGGACAGGGCCAGAATAGATCCAGGGGAAACATTCACTGAATACATATACTTATGTATTGTGGAAGTTTTGATGGTGGTCATGTACCAAGAAGGGAAAAAGTAAGTTTATAATTGAGCAGAACCAGAAGGAGAACGCTAGAGGAAAAAGGAGAGGACGTGAATGATTATATTTAGAGGGTAGGATGAGAAGTGAGAGGAGGTGATTAGAGAAGTGAGGAGAAACCAGGCAGGTGGGTATGGAATCTTGGAAATCAACAGAAGAGGGCATTTTGTGAAGGATGAACAGTTGCAGAGAGAAAAAGATTGCATGAGAACTGGGAAAAGAAACGCTTTGTGTTTGGTGACACTGTCATAGTTGACCCTAGAAAGCATGGTTTGAGTAGAGTGGTCCAAAAAAGAAGGATACTGGAAGGGGCGGATCAGTACCAGAGATGAACTATGGTCATATATAAAGAAATGTGATGACATAAGGAAAGAGAGCACTCACTGGGGTCGAGAAATGATATTTCTTGGCTCTGGGAGAGTGATCATATCCTCAAATTTTTTTTTTTTTTTTTTTTTTTGAGACAGAGTCTCACTCTGGCACCCAGGCTGGAGTACAATGGTGCCATCTCGGCTCGCTGCAACCTCTGCCTCCTGGGTTCAAGCGATTTTCATGCTCAGCCTCCTGAGTAGTTGGGACTAGGCACCTGCCACCATGCCTGGATAATTTTTGTACTTTTCGTGGAGACGGGGTTTCACCATGTTGGCCAGGCTGGTCTTGAACTCCTGACCTCAAATGATCTGCCCGCCTCAGCCTCCCAAAGTGTTGGGATTACAGGCGTGAGTCATTGCACTTGGCCTTAAAATGTATATTGACACCACTCCTCACTTCTAGCTTGTTTTTGACCTGCAAACCAAGAAGTAAGCATTACATCAACCTGTACAAGGTGCACATCAGTGATTCCTGCAACATCCTGCATCATGATGGGACCGGTAGTTGATGTGGTAAAAATATGTTGTGCATTTGTCTTTCCCACGAAATTTTTTCTAGCCACAAAATTAACCAGAAATAAGAGAAGCATAGCCCCATCCCCCCTTTTCTCAGCAACACAGAGAAGCAATGTCTCCAACACAAGAGAATGAATAACCTGCCAAAAACTAAGTTAGAAATACTGATGAAACCAGGTTAGATGATATGCCGTGCTTTCTCTGCTATCCCACAGCAGAGAATGTCCCACACAGTGTAACATTGAAACCATGTTACAATTTGATGACAGGGTGTCCTAGAGCAAATGAACAAAGCTGTGCCAGCAGAAGTGAAGCCTGAGGATTTGGGGTCATTCACTTGTGCATGATTCCTCTCTCCCTGTCTTCTTTCTCTTCCTTTTATGCTGTATTTTTTTCATGTACTCACTCTCTTTTCCACAGATAGACTGCGGAACTGCCCATGAGGCCAAGCACCTATTAGTAGACCAAGAAGCATCATCCGTCCGTGACTTAAGCTGGCAGCCAGCTATTGTTCTCATCTGAGTCTGGGAGTTCAGGATTTCCATCCTGACCCGGCTACTTTCTTTCGACAGTTACCCACTGTAAATTTCCGAATACTTTCAGCTGCTAATCCTGGTGTACCCAATTAAAAATGCCTTTCCTAATAAAGGCATTTCAGATAGAATTTAGCAAAGTGTTCCAAGGTAGGAGTTTCCAGGGCTGGGGCAGAAACTCAATGATCTTATAAAGGCCCCTGCTCTGACATCTTCGGCATGTTGGCTTTTACCCTTGGCTCTGTCCTCATGGTTGCAAGATGGCTGTCAGAACTCCAAGTATTTCCTCCCTCCAAGACAATGTCCAAAAATCTCTATCTCTCCCTTTTTATCAGAGAGGAAAATCTTTCCCAGAAGCCTCCTGCGCACTTTTATTCAAGCTCCACTGCCCAAGATTGGGTCACCGACCAGTGCCCAGCTGTAAGGAGACTGTGGAGGTGAGTACCTAGGATTTTCGGTCTCTACAGTGGAAAAAAGGAGCTGGAATGACTACTTGGTAGGCAACCAAACATCCACTACCAGTAACAGTGATGGAAATAAAAAGCGATAATGACAGCTAACATGAATTATGCTATCAATACATGTTAGACATTGTTCTAAAGGGTTAACAGGAATTGGCTTAGTTCATCTCAAAAATACTACTGACGAGATCCATATTATTGCAGTCCTCATTTAACAGGCAAGGAAACAGGCTCAGAGAGGCTTTAAAAACTTGCCTCCACCACTGCCCCGCCCCCTGCCAAAAAAAAAAAAAAAAGAAAAAACTTGTCCTCGGACCCCAGACCTCTGGTTAGAAAGCCCGCACTTGGCCTTTTGGAGACCAGGGGCCAATATATACCTGTAACTCCAATATATAAATCGGATGTAATAGGGATACCTTTTTCCCTGACAGCAATTGTCTTGGATGCAGGAAACGCCTCCCGATTTTACTAATACATGAAGTTGAGCCTAGCGCTGTGTCTCCAGAGACAAGGCTGGTGAGAAAGTTAATCTCTGTCATTATGGGGAACCCTCCCTACCCAGAGAGTGGAGTGGAAATCCAGGGTCTGGTCTAGTCCTAACTGTTGAGGGGGGCCCTGAGACTTTCATCTATCCTGGTGACTTCCAGAAGGTTGACTGTCCTCTGCTCTCTCCCCAAGTTGACTTCCTGTTGCAGAACTTGGGATTCTTTTGTGTGTGTGTGTGTGTGTGTGTGTGATGGAATCTTGCTCTGTTGCGCAGGCTGGAATGCAGTAGTGTGATCATATTAAATAGCTTCAATGGCATCTCCAACTCCTAGACTCAAGGGATCCTCCCGCCTCTGCCTCCCGAGTAGCTGGCCTATGGGCATGGACCACCACACCCAGTGACTTGTTTGTTTTCTTATTATTGAGTTTTGAAAGTTGTTTATAAATTCTGGATACAAGGCTTGTTTTCGATAGGTAATTCGCAAATATTTTCTCGGTCTGCAGCTTCTCTTTTTTATTTTCTTAATAGTGTGATTTGATGATCAGAAGTGTTACATTTTGATGAAGAGCAATTTGTCAATTTTATTCTTTCATGAGTCATGCTTTTGGTAGCATATCTACATAAACGTTTTTATTCATCTGTTCGTTGTCTGTATTTATTTTGAGACAGGGGCTCACCCTGTCACTCAGGCTGGAGTGCAGCAGTGCTATCACGGTTCCCTGAAGCCTCGACTTCCCAGGTTCAATCAACCCTCCTACCTCAGGCTCCCAAGTAGCTGGGACCGCAGGCACGTGCCACCACGCCCAGCTAATTTTTTGTATTTTTTGAAGAGACAGAATTTCACTATGTTGTCCCCAAACTGGTCTCAAGCTCCTGGGCTCAAGCAATCCACCAGCCTCGGCCTCCCAAAGTGTTAGGCTTACAGGCATGAGCCACCTCGCCCTGCCTATATTAACCCTGTTAAACACCTTTATTAAGATGTAATTCATAAACCATACGATTCACCCATGTAAAGTTACAATTCAATGGCTTTCATGTTCAAATGCCTGTGCTGGGATGAACACTTCAGCATGCACGTCACCAACTACAAGAGCTCGCCTTTTGTCCATAAATTTTTAAATGTAAAATTTACATGTAATGAAATTCACAGATCTTAAGTATATCATTTGATGAGTTTTGACAAAATTCATTCACCTGTGCAATGCAACTCTCTATCAAAATATAGAATCATCAAAATATAGAATAATCCAGCCAGGTGTGGTGGCTCACACCTGTAATCCAAGCACTTTGGGAGGCCGATGCAGGCAGATCACGAGGTCAGGAGATCAAGACCATCCTGGCTAACACGGGGAAACCCCGTCTCTACTAAAAATACAAACAATTAGCCGGGTGTGGTGGCAGACACCTGTAGTCCCAGCTACTTGGGAGGCTGAGGCAGGAGAATGGTGTGAACCCGGGAGTCAGAGCTTACAGTGAACTGAGATCACGCCATTGCACTCCAGCCTAGGCGACAGAGTAAAACTCCACCTCAAAAAAAAAAAAAAAAAAAGTATATATGTATATATACATAAAACAATCCCTGTGCTGGGATTACAGGAGTGAGACACTACACCCAGCAAATTTATTCCTTTGCATTTGATTCTGTGTATTCACAGATTTGTACAATATCACCACAATCAGTTTTCGAACATTTTCATGCTCCCAAGGAGAAACCCCAGACGCCTTAACTGTCAGTGTCTCATCCTCCCATTCCCACCCCCAAATCCCAACAAACAACCATCTACTTTCTGTCTCTATAGATTTGCCTATTGCGAACATTTCATATGAATAGAATCATACCATTTGCGACCCTTCGTGTCTTTCACTTAGCATTATGTTTTCAAGATTCATCCACATCCCAGCATGCATCAGTATTTCATTTCCCTTTATTGCCAAATAATATCCCTTGTATAGACACACCACATTTTATGTATCCATTATCAGTTGATGAACATTTGGGTCATACGAGCCGTTGCGTGGATATATGTTTTCACTTCCCTCGGTTATATACCTGGGAATGGAATTGCTGGGTCATATGGTGACTGTATATTCAAGCATTTGGGAACTGCTAGGCTGTTTTCCAAAGGGGCAGCACCACTTTACATTTTCACCATCAGTGTGTGAGGTTTCCAATTTCTCAACATCCCCACCCACACTTGTTACTATCTGATGATAGCCATTTTAGTGGGTGTAAAGTAGCACCTCACTGTGGTTTTGATTTGCTTTTCCTCATGATGTTGAGCTCCTTTTTAAATTTGAGACAGGGTTACTCTATTACCCAGGCTAGAGTATAATGGCACGATCACAGCTCACTGCAGCCTTGATCTCCTGGCTCAAGCAATTCTCCCGCATCAGCCCTCCAAGTAGCTGGGACTATAAGTGCACACCACCACACTCGGTTAATTGTTTTTATTTTTTGTAGAAATAGGGTCTTCCTATGTTGCCCAGGCTGGTCTCAAACTCCTGGGCTCGAGCGATCCTCCTACCTTGGCCTCCTAAAGTGCTAGAACTACAGGCATGAGTCACCGCACCCAGTCTGATAATTTTTTGCTTTTGGTTACTTGTATGTCTTCTTCAGAGAACTGTCTATACAAGTCCTTTGCTCATTTAAAAATTGAATGGTTGTATTGTTATTATTAAGTCATAATTGTTGTATATTCTAGATATCCTTCCCTTATCAGATATATGACTTGCAAAAATTTTCTTTCATCCTGTGGATTTTCTTTTTAACTTTCTTGATGGTGTCCTTTAAAGCATGAAAGTTTTTAAATTTGATGATGTCTAGTATATCTGTTTTTGGTTTCATCGCATCTACTTTTGTGACATAGCTAAGAAACTACCACCTAAATCAATGTCAAGGAGATTTACATCTGTGGTTTCTATTTTTCATTTTATTTGTTTATTTTGGAGATGGAGTCTCGCACTGTCGCCTGGGCTGGAGTGCAGTAACTTGATCTCGGCTCACTGCAACCTCTGCCTCCCGAGTAGCTGGGATTACAGGCGCCCACCACCATGCCCAGCTAATTTTTTGTATTTTTAGTAGAGATGGGATTTCACCATGTTGGCCATGCTGGTCTCGAACTCCTGATCTTGTGATTCCCCCGCCTTGGCCTCCCAAAGTGCTGGGATTACAGGCGTGCGTCACCGTGCCTGGTCTATATCTGTGGTTTCTTAGAGTTTTATAGATTAGCTCTTACATACAGGTTTTTGATCCATTTTGAGTTATTACTTTTTTTTTTTTTTTTTTTTGAGACGGAGTTTCACTCTTGTTGCCCAGGCTGGGGTGTGATGGCTCAATCTTGGCTCACTGTAACCTCCGCTTCCTGGGTTCAAGCAATTCTCCTGCCTCAGCCTCCTCAGTAGCTGGGATCACAGGTGCCTGCCACCACAGCCGGCTAATTTTTATATTTTTAGTAGAGATGGAGTTTCACCATGTTGGCCAGGTTGATCTTGAACTCCTGACCTCAGGTGATCCACCCGCCTGGACCTCCCAAAGTGCTGGGATTATAGGCATGAGCCAACGCGCCCAACCAAGTTAATTTTTATATATTGTGTGGTGTGAGGCAAGGATACAACTTTATTTATTTATATATTTAGAGACAGGGTATCTCACTCTGTTGTGCAGGCTGGAGTGCACTGGTAGGGTCACAGCTCACTGCAGCCTTGACTTCCCCAGGCTCAGGTGATCCTCCCACCTCAGCCTCCCAAGTAGCTGGGACTACAGGCAAACACCACGATGCCAGGCTAATTTTTGTATTTTCTGTAGAGATGAGGTTTTGCCATGTTGCCCAGGCTGGTCTCAAACTCCTGGGCTCAAGTGGTCCACCCACCTCTGCCTCCCCAAGTGCTGGGATTACAGGAAGGAGCCACTGCACCCAGAAACTTCAGTCTTTTATGTGTGAGTATCAGGCTGCCCCTTAATCATTTAATGAAAAGACTAGTTTTTGTTTTGTTTTGTTTTTGTTTGTTTGTTTAAGACAGAGTTTTGCTCTTATTGCCCAGGCTGGAGTGCAGTGGCAGGATCTCAGCTCACTGCAACCTCTGTCTCCCGGGTTTAAGCGATTCTCCTGCCTCAGCCTCCCGAGTAGCTGGGATTACAGGCACCCACTACCATGCCCAGTTCA